AATGCTCCCTACAGTGAATCGTTTTGTTGTCTTGGTCCCAAAAGAGAGGAAGAAAATAATTTCTTCATAGAGCTAACACTAAAAAAATACATATTTGATAAATATTTCAATAAACATCACACATGTTTTGGACAATATCCAACTTGCCACAGAATATTAACTTACCAGTACTCCTTTCTTTTTGTTTTGGTTTGGTTTTTTGTAGTTCATGCTCAATTCCATTTCCAACATAAACAACATAACTTGAAGAATTTTGAACACCATCATTCTAGAGCTCAAGTCAAAATACTCTTGACAAAATGGAAGTTTCATCTGAATTGCAGAATCCCAGAACTGCAGACTTCTAATATTGGAAGGGACCCTTAGAAACTTCTCCTTAGAGCCCAGACACCTCAAGCATTTACTCGGGACTGCGTCCAGATGGGGTTTGAATATCTCCAAGGATGGAGATCCTCTGAGCTCTCTGGACAGCCTGTTTCACTCTTTAATCATCCTCACAGTGAAAATGGTTTTCCCTATGATAGCGTTTAATTTCTTGCATTTCAGTTTGTGTTCTGTGCCTCCTCTTCTGTCACTGAGCACCACGGAGAAGAGTCTGGTTTGCTCTTCTGTACCTCCTCCCACCAGGTGTTTGCCACATTGCTAAGATCCAGCCTATGCCTTCTCTTCTCAAGGCTGAACAGTCTCAGCTTTCTCAGCCTCTCCTCATATTACAGATGCTAAAACCCCCTAATCATTGTTCTAGCCCTTTCCTTGACTTGCTCCATGTCTCTAAGTCCATATTTTTCTTGGCACAGCATTCCAGATGTGTCTAATCAGTGCTGAGTAGAGGTGTAGGGTCACCTCCCTTGACCTGCTGGCAATACTCTGCCTCATGCAGCTGCAGATCACATGGTCCTCTTTTGTTGCAAGGGCACATTGCTGGTTCATGGACAACTTGTTGTCCATCAGGAAATCCAGGTCCTTTTCTCTCAACTCCTTTCCATGAGTAACCTTTCCATGAGTAGCCTTGCAATGGCATTGGCCAACTCCCTCAGGACTCATGGGTGCGCTCCTACCAGGTTCTATGAACAAGAGCTCGAAATTTAGGGTTTCCACCTATGGAAATGGAGAACAACAAAATTGTCTCTCCCAGCAAAGCTTTCCTGAAATGTTCTCAGTCTATTGCATTTAACACAGTAGACAAATGCTCCCCAGAGGAAGCTAAAATGCTCAGTTATTGAAGGGAATTAACAATACATGTTGTTATTTCTCCAGTCTGCACACTAAAGGACTGGAAAGGTCACTTCTTACACAAACTTTTCTACTGAGATTCTGCAAAATCTATAGACAACCAATCCACAGTTCCTGACTAATATTCCCATTTGGGGTGCCATAGCTCCTGCAGTTGCTCCTATTTAAATGTTTGCACCATGGTCAATTTTGTCCTTAAAACTTCAATCTTTTTTTCCCTTGTGATTCTATCACAGCTTCCAGTTTCAAATTCCCATAGTCCAAAGGCAGAAATATTGCAGTAGTTTTAATACAAATACATTTCCAATTAGTAGGGTAAACTAATATAAAATTATTCTCACTATAATTCTCTTTGATTTTAAATTCATATTGTAAATTGCCAAAAATTTCTAGTACGATGAAGGAAACAGAAAAGAGAAAGAGAAAGGGGAAAAAGAGAGATGGAGGGAGGAAAGGAGTGAACAAGGAGGGAGAAAGATAACTTTGCCAGAAGAAGGATTTGTGCTAAGCATATAAAGAGAGTTATAGATATGCCATTAGTAGAGATACAATTTAAATAAAGCAGCTACTGGGAACACAGAAATTCTATGTAACAGAAGCAAATCACTGGTTTAATGATCATTAGAAATGATGAGCCCTAAGTTTCAATGAATTTATATTTTCTGGTAGGTACTCTCTTAACTGAGTTGTTCTAAATCAGCTGCATAGGTGCATCTCTTGTTGAAGAACTGATAATCTACACAAGATAGAAATATTATCTATGGTTTGGATGATTCTTCTCTTCCACAGAATCACAGAACATGCTGAGTTGGAAGGGACCCACAAGGATCATCGAGTCCAACCCTTAGCCCTGCACAGGACCATCCCCAAGAGTCACATCATGTGCCTTTTGCTCAATGAGATGCAACTCATGACCGAACTAGTGGCTCAGTAAAAGTTGAGAAACCTGCCCAACAAGTGTTTTTCAAACTAGCATTTTACTACAAGAAATTTTGGATTTACCGAGTTCTTATTCACTAAATCTAGATATTGAATCCAAAGTGAAACAGTTAATCACAGAATCACAAAATATGCCAAATTGGAAGGGACCCACAAGGATCATTCAGTCCAATTGTTCTTTGTGTTGTTTCTTATAAAAACTATATAAGAAATCTAGTGGAAGAATGCAGAATAATTGGATAATTATACCCTTTGCCATTAATAACTTCTGTATTTCTGAAAAGGTTACAGGTTGTAAGAACACCAACTGGCTGCCTGTGAAAATGCCAGTTATGGACAATGTCTGGTTTTGATTTTGGTCATTTGAATCTCAGGAATGCAATTTAGGACTCCATGATCTGATGAACATATGTTCTTAGTTCATACCAAATCTGAGGAGGTAAGTGGCTTAACAGGTAATACATTCAGTAAATGTCCATTCCAGTCAAATAAAATTAACTCCTCCAAACATTCCTGATCTTCTGCTATTGCCTCTTAGGTAGCTGTATAAAAGGTACTGAAGCTTTGGTTTAAATGGGTTAGTAACACCTGCAATAAAGTATTTCTTTCTAATAGCTGAAGGCTCCAGGAAAATTAATAGTTTTGCAAAATGCTGATAGCCTTCTTGACTCCAGCTGTAAAATCCAGGTAGCCTTAAAACTGAAGTGTAATGGGTTATGTTGTAATGAGATTAATATGTTACCCTTACTCTGAATCTGTGAAGTTATGCAAGACAAGCTAAGTAGTTTGCTGAAGGCACAAAACAGAAGAGGTCAGAGGAAACACTGTCACTGTGCTGAAACTGGTAGACAGAGTCCTCAGTCAAGAACTCTTCCAAAAAAGAATACACACATGGGATAGCAGTCTTACAGCAATGCTGAAAGTTTCTCTAATAGCTGAGAACATCTTGGTGTAAAGAACTGTTTTATTTCATTTTACTTTTCTTAGTAGCTGAGGTCATCTGGATTTGCAACTGCAGTTTCTGCATAATTCCTACATGGAACTTGCTTTTCCATGTTACTTTCCTGAACACAGTAAAAAAACCCTAGCAGGAACTATTAGATATAATTTTTGAATTCAACTTAGTTTAAGACAAGAATTCAAGTCAACTTTAGACACCTAAAAGGTTAAAGACAGAACAAAGGTCCAATTAAAAAATAAGCAACAGGTAATAATAATAAAGAACACAGAATGGAGCGATTCAGTAATTTCTAACAACTAATATTACTTATTGGGTCGGCAATAACAAAAGCATTCACAATTGTAACAAAGGCTCTCTTGAAACAGATTTTTAACACCATTGGCAAATTTGCTTATTTCTTTGAATTTATTCCATTTAAAAGTAAATATACTATGGAACTATAAATTGGAGGAACAAAAGTGTGTTTGAATGAGATCACAAATATAAATTTTCTTTCTTTTTGGTTTGCTCTTTTTATTTTTACAACTCTAGTTGTTTAGAAATAAAGGTCAAATGATCCCAGGAAAGGAATTGGGTCTTAACAATGTTTAGAGAACACACAAGAGACTTAAGAATTGCATTCAATAAAGGACTCCATAAAGTCCACGTGGTCTTTAACTACACTATTGCCAGCTCTTCAACAGTTTTTACAACAACTTACCATATAGGTGATTCTTGACAAAGCAAATCATTAATACTACACATCTATTACCAAAACGTAAAGGATTTAAATTACTTTTACTAATATATGGACAATTTAGTGGCTTATCAGTATTTATCAAACTTCAGGGCAACTTGAGATTTTGAGTTAAACGTTTCTACCCAATTTGCAAACAGTAGGCTCTTTGCGATTCCCAGTCTGAACACATACATTCTTTCAAAGATCTTGCGTTTTGACACTTAATTTAACTGAGATTACTTTCTAGAAGTAATAAAGTATTGCTAGTCCAGTCAATCCAGATGCTGGTTTTCCCTGTACATGATTTATCAGATGATTTTAAACATATTACAGAAGCATTCTTTTACCTAACTATGCAAGACTGATAAAGTTCAAAATAATTTCTTACATGATTTAGTGCCAGATATTTTAATTCTTCAGGCCACTAGCACTGGAATGATTCAACAAGGGACTCAAAATTTCTTAAACTTGCTACCATGAAGGGATTTTGAAACTCTTTCCAGTACAAGCTTCTCCCTGCGATACACTGGCATTTTTTTCATCATGAGAAAATATCCTTAGCTATAAGAGAGCTTTCCACTTTTCCTTCACAAGTTTTTTCACATCACTACCTTGACAGAAGAACAGTAATAGGAAACATAGGAATGACAGAAAATGCCACACTCTTATTACCATTGTAAACGAGACTAAGAGGTATTAGCAAGGTGTGTCTCGGATGGATCAAAGAAATTTTCACTCAGGAAGAGTCTCTATTTATGAATTAGGCATTTTGGAAACTCTCACATATGGAGTTTCACTGATTGTCTCATAAAGAGACTCTGATCCCAGCCAAATCTGGGGGAAACGCAATGCAAAAATGGTGTGTTTCATCAGCGGATTTTTTAACCCCCGTTTTGCTCTTGTCTCCTCTGCTGTCTGGTGGGATCAGACACAGAACCTTTCTGAGAATCCTGTGTGCTATTGGCAGGCAGCTATAGGAGCGGATTCCCAAGGCTGTGTCTTGGGTGAGTCCAGCAAAGTAGTTTTGCTCAGTTTCAGCCAGGAAATAGTTAAAAGAGCTCAGCGTTCCCCTGTGCCCGGGAGGCAGCCTTTGTGTTTAACATTGGCAGGGGCTCAGTTTGGGCTGGAGGTTTGTTTTAATTGGGGGAGGGGGCAGAGGAGAGGGGACGCTCCGACTTCTTCAGTCTGTCTCTTTCTTTCACTGATTTAGCGGAGGTGGAGATTTTCAATCCCACCCAGTCAGACGCAGGCAGGAGGATCTGGTAAGACTATCCCAGGAAAAGCCACTCGGAGGAAATTCTCAGAGGCAGCGGCAGCGGCGGCGGCGGCGGCTGCAGCCCCAGCATGAGGGTGAGCCCGGCGGGGAGGCGCGGCGGGGGGAAGTGCGCGGGATGCTGCGGGAACCCGAGCCCGAGCCCGCCCCGGGAACTGCCCGGCCCCGACCGCGGGCACCGCTCGGAAACGCCCCAGAGAGGGATTCGGTGCCGGCGGTGCATCTCTGTGTGTGAGAGTGGGGTGTGTGTGAGAGAGAGTGAGAGAGGACACGACACAGGCTCAGGGTAGCCCGAGGTAACTGTTATTAAGTGAAGTTTAACAATATATGGCTCTTGCCAGAGGCACGGGGAGCGCTTTTCCTTTGGCGGTACTGGAGGAGCAGCAGGAGCCTCCCCGGCAGCGCGGAGCGCTCCTGCCTTTGCCGGGCTGGGAACAGCCCGGAGGAGTCCCCCTTGTTCCCTTCAGTGCTTTCCTGCCCCTGCTTCAGTTCGTTTGCTCCTGTTCACATCTCAGCTGCTTTCAGGCTGATCCATCACTGATAACGTTTTAGCTCGTCTTTAATACTTGGAACAATTCCGTTTCCACTGCTATGGTCTCTCCTTGGTAAAGCTCGGCATGGGAATCTTTCTGGCTTGTTACCTCAGGCAAGTCAGGAATTTCGTGCTCTGCATCAGCGGCCGGTTCTGCAGCGCTGGAGGAGCACAGGCACAGCATATGCATGTGGTTCTCAGATTAACACAGCAACCTCACGGCAATACTAGATTACCTTATTGCAAAAAGTTACCACAGATCCTAGGATGTCACTCATATGAGGCAGTTTGCATGCAATTTTCTGTAACAAGACAAATACTTTGAAAATACACACAGAGGAATGAAGGACTGCTGGGAATACGTTAAAAAAAAATATATCCTTAGAAGTTTGTATATTAAAAACTTTCTAGTTTCGCTTCTAGGAGAGGTAAGAGATGGTAAATAGCAATTCTGTTCCAAGCTTCGCATGCTGGCTGCCTGATTTGCCATGCCACCACCATTGTCCATACGATACATACATCCCATTTTCACAAGAAGACGTCATAAATTAAGGAGGACACTAATTTAACTACTGAAACAGGGGGCTATGGGTTCTGTTCATAGCTGTATCGCATTTACTTGGGAAAGTCATTTAACAGTGATACAGTTTTCCCATTTGTAAATTGAGGAGTCATAGTAAATAACACAAGTGTTAATAGTTGCCTGAAAACAGTTACAGTCAAACATCTCTGCTAGTTTTGATTTAGAAATCTAAGGTGAATGCACTTGCATCGTGCTAACTGCTGCTGATTGTCCTGGGATACTGTTGTAACCAGCATTTAATAAAGAAGGATTTACTATTTAGTACATTCACCTTTAAAATCAAGTCCATAGGAACTCACAGATGGTCAAATCCTCATTTCAAATACACCAACACAAGGACTGTAAATGTGGAGCCCTGCTCTGTGAGGGATAACGCTCTACATGCCAGACAGGAATACTCTGGTTAACATGGCTTTTGCTGCTGTATATAGGTACACAAACACTTCACAGACCACACACAACAGAAGCCTTAATAGTAGTAAATATTTATACTGTGCCTGCTCCAGAAGTACTATCAGTAAATTGTCTCCCTCCTTCTCTGGTAAATTTCTTGCTATAAACTCTGACTTAACAGCCCCACAGGGAACGGAATTAGGATTCATTTATTTAAAAGGATCCTCCCAAATACTTCATGTGAGTCCCTAGAAGTCAGAAAGTTATAAATATTTTATTTTCTGCTCCTCTTTTGTCAGCATTGCAGCACTTTGCCTTGTTTTGCATACAGAAGCCATGTAAAAAAAAAAAAAAAAAAAATCTTTATATTAAACCGAGGCTTCAAGGAAATGGACCTGAGTGGCATCCTTGGTTTCACTGGATGAAGGTGTATCTACTCTATTCTAACCCCCACTCTGGCAGGGGTTACACACAGGCTGTCCCACTCACTGGTACAGAACGCTATGATGCTTCCTTTCCTAACTGGAAATGTCATGACTTGTTGCTTAGAATACTAAACCAGCATTTTTTATCTTTAACAGAGCTTTAATTTTTATAATTAGCTTCACTGTGCTTCAGTACTGCACACGAATTGCAATGACATTCAGGAACCAAGTGACACAGAAGTTTGAAGGACTTTTCCTGGCCAGAGGTGTACCTAGGTAGACCTAGACCTAGACTGTAAAAGTCTTCCTCCTAATATTTAGGGACTTTGGATCTGGTCCAAAGTTTGACTTGAAATCCCAAGTATTTTCAGTCTTCATTTGAAATCCAGTTAATAAGTCAGGTGAAAATAAGTAAAAGCTAATTGTTGCAATATATCAAAAATACTGAGAAAATTAACAGATTTGCTATCTTTAACTATTGATGCATTGCTGTCACCCTACTTTTTCAAGGATAAAAGAATATCTTCTTATTTTATCTAAAATATCATTCAGCAGCCTCCAAGGCAGGTCGACTATTCTTGCAAGACAGTATTTTAAAACTGAATTTCATCCACCTTATTTTTTTCCATCCATATCCAAATTCTGCATCAAGCTAAAAGGCTTTTATAAAATCTTATTTGTATAAGCTATCGATTACTTAAGGAATTTTTTGTGTTTGCCGTTTGTCAGACAGTTAATGGGGGTAATCTAGATTTCAGAGCAGTGCAGTGAGTGTAAACAGGTGTTTATACCTATTAGCTGCAGAGACTGAATATTCAAATATCTTTCTTAAGCGTGAAAAAGGGTTTGTTAGTCTACCTGTTGTATTTACTCTGTTTCTTTTTTTTTTCTACTTTTACTTACTGTTTCTCTCTGCAGGTGAAGAAGTGATAAGTATCTCACTGAAATACTGAAAAAAACCCCAAACCCCTGTTTGAATTCGCTCTTTGAGGACTTCAGAATGGAAGCCTTGTGTTTAAGAGTTTCCTTGCTGCTGCTGGTTCCCGGATTTGTCCTCAGTGACAGCTCTGACAGATACGATGCCAATCGGAGTGACTTGGAAAACCACCTTTCCACTTTCTCAGGGATCGAATCCAGCTTACTCCTCACCACCGTGCAGCCCCCTGTGTCCAACCAAACTGTCAAGTGCTCCCAGCAGACCAAGATTGCTGAAACTTTTAAATACATTAACACAGTGGTATCTTGTGCTATTTTCATCGTTGGAATGGTTGGGAATGCAACTCTGCTGAGGATCATTTACCAGAACAAGTGTATGAGGAATGGCCCGAACGCACTGATAGCCAGCCTCGCACTGGGAGACCTTATCTATATTGTCATCGATATCCCTATCATTGTGTACAAGGTAGGACAACCACACCGATGCATTCTAATTGCACTTTCCTTACAAGCACACTGTCTGTTCTCTGTGGTTACTTCTCTGTCTGTTTAGTGCCCTTTTGTCAATGAATAGTGCACTTAAGAGAAAATACAACTCCTTTTCGTTCTACAACACAAGCCTTGCTCTCAGGTCTCACCTCCATCAAGAAAAAGTGTATCTCCCGTTAAAGGTGAGGTAGCTCTCAGTTCTTAAACCAAGTGTGGCCTTGGGCATTTCACAGGAGCTCTTCATTTATTACAGCTACTAGAGCTAGCGAAAGAATTTATAAGGGAAGACTTTTTATAAACGGTTCTCCTCCTTGATGGACTAGCTGCTATTTTTGGAATATCTTACCCATACTTTGTATTTTGACAGAAAATACTCCCTGTGATATGCAGGCTTCGTGTTAAGGCTTTGTGGAGAGAGAATATGTCAGTTAAGTTGACCCTTAAGTTTTTCATTTAATAGTCATTAATAGCAGATTCTCAGAATTATTCCAGAGTTAGTAAAATCAATTTTATCACAGACCATTTTTGAAACATTAAATTTCATCTGGGTTTGTCAAAGTATAAAATGGCTCCTCAGCAATTCTTTTATCTGGTATAAATTTATCCTGTCCCAGTGTTTTGATATTCCACTTTAATTAAGCAAAACCATGAAGAAGTGTTTTTTCTGATGCAGCATATGTTTACTAATACAATTCAAGCCAGGACATGCTTGAATAAACAGAACTAAGTCCTTTTTTTAATATAGCTCACTGATATTAGCTTATCTTAGACAATCATCAAAGAATGTTGTAAGCTTGTATCTGTCTCTTTGTGGATTGTACACAGGTGCATAGCTGATAGGATATTAGACTCCTTTCTTTTCTCCATAAAAACATAATGTCCTTCTGTTACTAAATAGAACACTAAGTATTATAATTTTAAAAAAAACATTCTTCACAATTTTGGCCCTAAACGACTCTAAAGACTTCACTTTTATTTATATGGGCTTTAAATGAAACATTTTAATGCATAATTTTTTAATAACTAGTGTCTAGTGGTTTCAAATTGGATTTTAAAATTTAAGAAACAGTGAAGAATTTTGCATATATGTAACTATTGACATCATAACTGCATTATAACCCAGCTATTCATAGGACAAGATCATAAAATTTGAATTAATTAGTGGATCAAGAATATCTATATGCATATATTACATTTACACAGAGGCATATTATCTATGGTAAAATGCAGCACCTGATTCTGACCTTCCAGTAGTATCAATTACAGAGAAGTCTTTTATCTGGTTTTAGTATAATATGGATGTGAAACTAGGATAATGACTGTCAATAATAACATATGCGATTTAATGGAAATTCAGGTTTACACTTTTCCATATTCCACCTGGAAAATGAAATTACCGTAAATTGTTGATGAGATAGCAGGTCTCTGTAGAGTATTTGGAATTAACTACTTGTTGAGAAAGATTAGTGCCTGCCTGATTAGAGATTCACCCATCCTCCATAGCTGTGTGAATGCCTAATGGGACATGGGATTGGGGTTCTTGCCTGGACTCATCACCTACACAAGGCCAGGCTGGATGGGGCTTTGAGCAGCCTGGCCTGGTGGGAGGTGTCCCTGCCCATGGCACAGGGGTTGGAACCGGATGATCTTTAAGGTCTTTTCCAACCAAACCTTTCTATGATTCTATGACTCTATGACTGCAGCTCCCAGCATGCATTGCAGTTTCCTCCCTGGTAAATTATCCTTCTATGTTTATGGATAATTGCTAAGGCAGTATTCTTACTTCTTGTGGTATATATGATAGCAGATTTTGAGGAAAAAATGGCATGAGTTCTTTTCAGAGCCAAGTTTGGGCAAGAACAAGTATTTTTATTACCCAATTTTTTCTAACCTTTCCAGAGCTCTGCTTTTTTCACAAAGAGGGATGGAAAGCTGGAATTAATTTTGCCTTTCAGAATTGCCTTTGATGGTCTTCTGAAAATTCTTTAGAAGTTTAGTTAAAAGTAATGAACAATATTTTTTATATTCCCTTTATCATTTAGCAATAAATTTTTTCTATTAATTTTCTGGCACTTCTCTGGCATTCAAAAGGTTCAATTACCCTGAATAGCTCCAGACAAATGAAATTTCCTTAGCCTATATGAAAACTTATTTCTGTGCTGCAGAGAAGTATTTGATAAATAAAGGCTGTGAACAAAACTGCAGCCCTTGACATCAAGGTCTGCCAATTCCCACATGTAAGAAGGTGGAGCTAAAATCACATTTAAAGCACAATTCTAAGTTTTAGGGTTTTTTTTAGTGCTTGAACATTCAAAATAAATTACTTTAAAATTATCATACAGAACTACCTTGTTGTCTAAGGTTAGCTGCATGCATTCTGATACAGGGAAGCATTTATAGCATTTACAGGGGAGCTGTAGCACTTCTGATAAGAAATGCAGTTATGTATAGTCCACTTTTCATATGAACCACTCAGCAATGTGTCTGCTTACATTAGGAGTTGATTTTAAAGTTTGTTAAATGTCATTCCTCTTTGTGTCACTAGGGATCCTAAAATCTGTGTCACCTTTTATCTCCTTGTGTTGAATGACACTATGAAGGCTGTCCACTGGAAATACCACAAATGGAGAATGGAAGTGATAGTCTTTGAAGGAAAAAGAATTGAAGTGTTTTAATTTTTGTTTTAAAGTTTAAATTTTAAGATATTTTACAAATTTACTTCTGAACTTTACTTTAGAGATTCTTTTACATTCAGTTAAAAGATTCTTTAGAGTCTGCCTTATGTTGAACCATGTATTAGTATTCTATATAAAGAAGTGGTTTCAAGTACTTAATAACTTTCAGGTCAGATCTTCATTTTTAGGAGGACAAAACAGCTCTGAAATTAGAATTAGAGTAAACAAGCATTCATCTGCATTTAAAAAAACCAAATATATATGTATACTGTATAATTATAATTGAGTATCAGAAATAGTAATAATCACTTTCCTGAAACATAGTGGTGGCCTTAACAATTTTGAAACCACTTTCAGAAGAGTAGATAATGTTACTAATGCTCAAATCCATTCCACAAATCCTTAGAAAGAAGCAGGTGTAAGATTATAGTAACTGACAATGTAACGTTCCAGGAGAATTAAGTCCATTATTCTACTACGCATTTACACAATGAACAAAGGAGTGATGCTGGGAAAAAAGTAATTATGTAATTTATTTCAACTAAAGATGTGGACACAGGTGTTTGACATTTTTATCCTTTCTTCACAGTACAGTAGGCTCAGAAATTCCCCTCTTACTTTCTCTTATTACTGTAATTAGGTTCCCCCTAGCAATTTGTTAAATGGATTGAAATGTGACTAATATTCACTAGCCTGCTTTTGAAGGTTCTGGATTTATTAAAGCCCCACTACACTTAATTTCCACTAGTATATCCACTTATAATATCAAATCAATATTAAAAATTTTAATAAATTGAGTTTTACAGGAAGGGTGGCAGTTATAAATCCATCCTTAATAGACCAAACTAAGCCAATTTAATTCTCAATCACATTTTTATAGCACCTGGACCCAAACAGTTTCCTCTTTACCCAAGACATGCCCATCTCACACATTCAAGATGTCAAAGCCTATAGCTCCAAAACAGTAATTTCTTTCCAGGGAAAAGAAGATCAGAAAAAGAATGTTTAAATCTTACACTACTGTTGAGGTAGGGTTAAGGCACTGACGAGACATGTCCCTTTTCTAGTATTAGGTAGCATTAGCACAACTGAAAGCTGCGGCATCACCTGCGTTACCCATCAGTGCCATGTGTATAGAAAATAAGCTACGACAGATGCAATGCACGAAAACTTCTTTATAGGGCTGCTTTCTCTACAAAAACTAGTCTGTTTTCTAAGGCTATGCATGGGCAGCAGCAGAATATCCATAGAAACACCATCGTCTTGGCTGCACTAAGGTCTGAAAAGCCCTTACTGGCTCAAGTTTAGCAGAGCAACAGTAACAACACCAGGGTTGTTGGACAGCACAGAAAATGCTTTCCTGAGCTCATGGAGCTTGAAACACTCTAGGCCAAGGCTCTCACCTTTAGAATGGCAAAATTCAGTTTTAACTATGTTATTGGGAAGTCCTGAGCTGTCTCTGCTTCTAGTTCTATGCACTTTAGAGAAAAATGTTTAAATAAGTTCTGTTTATTGAAAACTGACCTATATAGGATTGACATAGCCTTAGATCATAATATGCTTAACTCCTTAAACCATGAGTTTATAAAGCAGAGGAAGCCAATTAGCCAGCTTTTACTCTGTTTCTTTAAATGTCAATAAAAACATTTTCCTAATTATTTTACTGGTATAAAGTGAGACATCTGCCCAGAGGAAAAAAAAAAAGCAAGAGTTCACTGCCCAGATAGCTCAAAAAGATAATGTTTTCTTTAATAAATTAGGGGAGATTTTGTCAATAAATTCATATTTACCTTAGTTGCAATAGCATCTAAATCTGAGTAGTCCACTCAGAACACTATGAATCCAAATATATAAGGTAGCTGGCAGTGAGGAAACATCTTCAGCCATTTTGTCTTCAATAAAGAAAGACTTAGGAGGGGCATTTCTAATCACAGACATTTTTCAACATCAGAGCACACGCATAAATGTTAGATCAGTGCTGCCTAAACCACAAATTATTTGGCATATCTGAATACCTTTACCAACAGAATTAGTATTATACCTTAACAGAGATAATTAAACACATTGACACTGATCTTGTAGCCAATAGAGCAAGTGGCATCTGCAGTAGTTATAGTTTAGTGCCAAAGGAGTATAAAGCAAAGTCCACGGCACACATAAAGTTAAGGGCATTTAATGAAGAAATCCTCCTTTAAACCCAAAATTTCTCATGTGTATTTCTCAATGAAGTACTGACAACAGCAGGAAACTCTGAGGCCTTGGCTTCACAACCCTATTATTTCAAGGTGTGTAGTGTTCATAC